TTCAGCCTCCCAAGCGCTGGGGTTACAGGCACGAGCCACCATGCCCAGTCTCAGTCGCTGTCTCAGCATCTTGGGGGAGGGGCCCAGCACAGCATGCTGGGGATCAAACCCCAGCACTGTGCTCTGTTTAGGCATGCACTTTAGTCTGCTGAGCTATCTGGGCAGTGCTAGTATAGCATTTTTGAGGTTCACTCATGTTGTATATGTTTCAGCATTTTTTTCCTCTTTATGCAAGAGTAATAATTGTATGTACCTATCACAATCAATTGGTAGAATTTGGACTTTGGAGTTTTTTTTTTTTTTCTGATACCAGGGATCAAACTTGGGACTTGGTGCTTTCCAGGCAGGTGTTTAGGCCGCTGTGCTATTTCCTCTCCTGGGCTGTTTTTATTTATTTATTTATTTATTTATTTATTTGGTACAGGATCTCACTATGCAGCTCGGACTCATATCTCATCCTCCCCAGTGCTGAGATTACAGGTGTGTACCACCAAGCCTGGTTTCAGAGATAGCTTAGGCCTGCATAGCATGCAGTGCTAGGGATTGAACCTGGGATCAAACCCAGGTCCTTGTGCTTGCCAGGCAGGTGCTTACACCTCCAAGCTATTGTCCAGCACTGGGCTGGTTTTTGGCTGTTATGAATAGTGATGCTGTGAACATGCATGTTGAAGTACTTATTTGAACATCTGTTTTCAATTCTTTTAAATATATACCTACTGTTGTTTTAGCATTGTGTGATCAAATCATAGTTCTATGTTTAAGCTTTTGAGGAACCACTAAATTATTTTCCACAGCAACTAAACTGTTTTATGTTACCTGTGGGGGGGGTGTTTCCATTTTTCCACATCTCATTATGATTAGTTCAGGCTGGCTTGGAAATCACTGTGTAACCTAGGCTGGCCTTGAATTTGTAACCGTCCTGCTTCAGCCTCCCAAGTGCAGGGATTATGGGCTATGTTACCATTTCCAATAAAGCTGGGGAACTTTAAAAATACCCAGATCTAATAATTGTATATTTAATTGACATGCCAGTGTACATTTGAATGGCAGGAGAGACTGCTCCTTCACTATAGAATTTGAAAAGTATACTGTGTAGTTAATTCATTTTCATTATTTTTGATATTGTACTCTATGAATATACCACTCTTTACTCATTGACCTTTGATTAATTTGTGGTGAACTCAACTTTTGACTGTTACAAACAACACTGCTATGAGCTTCCTTATGTAGACCTTCTTAAACAAGTGGTATTCATTTGCAGGGTGTATAGCTAGAATGGAATTGCTGGATAATAGGATATGTGCATCTTCATACCGTATAGTACTGTTGTCCAAACTGTTGTACTAGTTTATGTCCTGCCCTTGCTGAATTTGAGTTTCTGCAGATTCTCTGTTAAAATGTGACTCCCTATTCTAAAATATGTTGTTGGGGAGGGTGTGGTTAGAGATTTTGAAGAAGAGTTTTAATTAAAGTTCTGTTTACTCTAATAAACTTTTATAGTTCAGTCTTTCTTTTTATATAACTTTTCCTGGGATATTTTCTTCCTTTTGATGGGAGAGAATAAAGGAAGAAGCACAGACTTTGAGTGGTATGTCACTTCTTATCAGTTTTGCTGTTTTGACAAGTTATTCTTTGTGAACCTATGTATAAAGTGGGGAGAGTATTTTTTTCTCTTTTTCATGTAGTTGATATTAGTACAAGAGGCTTTAACATGTTTAAGAAGGACTCACAAATATATATTGAAAACATATTTTATGCTAGTTCAGGATCGAGAATTAAGAGATAAGTGGGACCTTTTGTACATTTTTTGTTTGTTTGGTTTTTTGTACATTATTTTTTTAATTTTTTTTTTATTTATTAGAGAGAGAGAGAGAGAGAGAGAGAGAGAGAGAGAGGTGTGTGTGTGGCCAGCTCAGCCCACCAGGGGGCGGGGCTGGCTGACATGTGCTGGGGGATTGAACCGCGGTCCCTGATGCTTTGCTAAGCTTGTTCTAAGTAGGGCTTTAGACCACTGAGCCATCTCTCCAGCCCCTGTACATTATTTTTTGATACTGAAAAATTGGGAGCAATTTAGATGTCCAACCATAAGATTGGTAATTATGGTATGTTCATAAACTAGGGTGCTATGTAGATGCTACGTCACGTTTTCAATTACAGGAAAAACTTGATAAGGAAAAGGTTGTAGTAGGTTTATCTCTGTCTTTTCATATAATTCACACATGTTCAGTGCAGTTACTTTGTTGGTGATAAAATTGTGTTTTAATACTTTTATACCTTAGGTATTTTCCATAGTTACTAAATATACTACAGTTAACATACTCAATAAGTACATTACATACTTTTAAAAAGGGTGAAAAAAAGGTGTCATCTAAAAAATATGGTGTTGCAAGCACAAGGGCCTGAGTTTAATCCCTGGTTCCACAAAAAAATTTAAAAATATGGTGTTGGGCAGGCCAAATAGCTCAGTGGATTAAAAGCACCTGCAAGCAAATGCAGGGGTGGGGGGGGTTGATCCTGGGCCTGCCTTGCCAGCCCCGCCCCCAGGGTGGGCTGAGACTGTGATTGAGACTGGGTGTGGTGTTTTGTACCTGTAATCCCAGCTCTTGGGAAGCTGTAAACAGGCGGATCACTACGAGTCTGATCTAATAGTGAGAATCTGAACACCCTGTAGACCCTTTCCTAAGATATAAATAAATAAATAAATAAATAAATAAATAAATAAATAAAAAAAATAAGATAAAAAATATGCTGTTATCTGAATGGGTACCATAAAGTAGGTAGAAGAACATTGACTATAAGTCTCACCAAAGGACTGGGTGTGGTGGCATAAACCTCTAATCTCAGCAGTCTGGAAGCTGAGGCAGGAATATTACTTGGAGTTTGCGGCTAGCCTGGACTAAATAGTTTGAGGCAAGCCTAGACTACATAGCAAGACCTTGTCAAAAAACCAAAATAAAGCAAAATACACTTCACTAAAAATGGTTTAAATATAAAGAATATTTATAAATTAATAGCTCACTTTGGATGTGACAGTGCATGCCTGTAATCTCAGCTCTTGGGATGCTGAGATGGGAGGATTGCTGCAAGTTTGAGGCCAGCCTGAACTACATGGTGAGTTCAAGGCCTTCATGAACTACACAGCGAGAACTTGTCTCTAAAAAAAGGAATAGTTCATTCAGGAACTTAATTTTTTGAATTCATATAAACATGGACTATGGCCGCAGAGGGCCTGCCTAGGCAAGTGCAGGGACCCGGGTTCAATCCCTGGTACCATATGCCATGCTGGCTCTGGAACCCTGGGTATGCTGCGCAGACCATCAAAACCTGGCGTGGTGGTGCACGCCTGTGATCCCAGCACTGGGGAGGCTGAAACAGGAGGATCACTGCAAGTCTGAGCTACATAGTGAGACCCTGTACCAAATATATATAATTAAAAAATAAATACACTATTAAACATGGACTAGAGTCAAATTTATCAGAATTGAGTAGAGAGCTAGTTAACATTGAGATTTTTTCCCTGTTGATTATTTTCTATAAAGAATGTTAGGTGAACAGTTGAAAGTATGAAATTATGGAAAAATAAAAAAAATAGTATGATTTTTCTTTTTTTTTTAAAGTATGATTTTTCTATAAAACTTTTCTTATAGTAGAAAACTTTCTTTTGACCACTTGAAGGTTTGATAATTGAGTCTACCATATAAACTGACAACAGAAAATCCTTTTTATGTACACTGGAAGAGGAGGAATGCGCAGCAAATAAGAGCTTGGCATTGTGATGCACATCTGTAATCCCAGCAGTTTGGGAGGCTCAGACAAAAGGATTCCAAGTTTGAGAATAGCCCTAAGTGATTTAGAGATTTTGCAAGGCCCTGTCATAAAAAATAAGTTTTAAAAAGGGCTGGGGATGTAGCTCAGTGCCAACACCCTTGGTTCAATCCCTATTACTGAGGGGAAAAAAGGAAAAGGTATGCAAATAGTGTCTCTTAGGTAAACTGCCTTCAGAAGCATTGGTAGTACCGGTGATAAACTGTCTCCCCCAAGCATCTGCCTCTAGTTTTCTTGGTTTGATATAGGGGGGACTTCAGAAAAAAAGCCTCGACTATATACTAATGTATATTTCCTCTATAGATGTAGGTTGCTTTTACAGCAGGACGGCTTTTCAGAGCTGTTCCTGTTTCTTTTTTTTTTTTTT